GAGTTTTCTCTAGTGAACGGATTTTATATTGATCCGATGCTTCTGGTTTATTTAGGAGAAAGCAACTGATCCTGATAGCAAACTAGCTTGATGGACTAAGTTATATCAACTAGATATAACTTAGTTATACCAACCAGATCTATTCCATCTTTTGGTACTGATGCAGTAATATTCTGTGCTAAGTAATAACCCTTCATCTAAGGATAGGGAATTTGAAGAATTATTTTAACTAAGGGAGGGAAAGGAAGAGGTGTGATAAAGCTCAGAAGAAGAGAGCATTTGTTGCTCCCTTCAGAAAGCACTGATAGGACTTTGAATTGGGAATTTGCATTTCTTTATATTATTAAACATACCAGATCCTGCTTCTCTTGATTTTGAAATACTCAAGAGAGAGATGTATTGCTGGAGAACCACTCCAGGTGGTCTTTCTGTGGTTTCGTAAGAATGGTTTTCTGCTTTATTTCCAGTCTTCCCTTCATTTTGGGATTAGCAAAACCCTGTTTTTTCTTTGACTAATATCTTTGAGGTACCTTTAATAAAGAATTTAATTGAAACCATCTATTTAGAGTCCCTTTTATAGTAACAGAGTTTAATTTAAAGTTTCTGGATTTGCATGCTTCCAAGCAATTTTTAATTCATTTCTGTGTAAATTAAACAGCTAACCCTGAGAGAGACATGCAGTCTCTCTGGTGAAGTGATTATTAATTCTGCATTTGTGTTGCTTCAAACCTGAGAGCTGGGCAAAGTGGAGCCTGCTGATGGGCATTGGTACGCTTGTGCTGAGAAAACGGACCTGAAACACGGTGGCTGTGTGAAGTCCGATTCCCAGGAGTGAATGTTCACACCAGAAGTTGAACAATTTTGCAGTGACTTTCTTAGGCCTAGGATAAGTTTAGGGCTTAGTCAAGCTTTAGGATTGTGTTTTTAGACGTACCAATGGATGGGGCAGTTCAGTTTCCAAGGCCTTTTGTAATGGGCTCCCTAAGAAAACAAGTTGGAAGATAGCTGCTTTTCAGTTGTGGTTATCAAACTGTCATGTTCATGAACACCTAATGCTGCGTTTTCTGAGTCGCTCTACCTGCGAGAGGCTGTTTTAGAGGAACTGCTGACGTATGGTTTCAGTGACAAAAGTACAACCGCAAATGATCCTGATGATGTCTGACTGAGTTGATCGTGATCAGTTGTTACCTTCCTCGCCTTATTTCTTAGACTTAACCACATCAGTGGCGTACCTAATATGGTACCATCTCAGAAACCAGTAGCTGAACTGGAGAAGATGGAGATGGGTGCAGGCACCATAAAGCGGCTCAGAATATGGGTAGCAGCAGGGTAGTCCTGAGCTCAGGGAGCTGTAAGTGGGATCATTTTTGTTTGTGCAATGCGCAATGGCTGCTGTTCAGCAACTTGTAACAATTTCTGTTGTAAACCAGAGTTTGTCACTCAGTGGCCAAAGAGCTGGTGAGGTGGCCTGAGCATGTTTGCCAGCTGCCCATTGGCTGGACCATGGACCATGGAGGCAAATCTCAACGTAATTGTACTGGACACTAAATCTGACCCTCCTAATTTTTAAAACTGGGCATTCCTTTAAAAACAAACAAACCAACCAACCCAGTAAGTTTAAACACACAGAGCAGAGGGAAGAGCTATAAGGATCGTCCTCTTTTGTGAAGAGGAGACCAAGATCTGGCTTCTCCAACATGCGAAGATAAAATATGGTAAGGGTTTCTCGCCACAATACATTCACAATGAGGTGTGAATATGAACTCTGATGAGGATGAAAAGATAACAGAATCTTGTTGACACAAGACTAAATGGCAATAAATTGGCTATAAATAAATGCTGGCTTGAAATGAGGAGGTGGCCCATCCTGCCTGCATCAGCTGGGTGCAGGACAGCTTTTCCAGGAGCAGCGGGAGAGGAACTACTGCTGAAGCTCCAGCTGAAATGTGCTGCTTTTGTTGCAGTCCTCAGGAATAGCTGTATTTAGTGCTGTGGTGTGCAGAACACTCGCAGGGAACGTGGTACATGCAGAATGTGTCCGATGTTACGCCTTTGCATGCCTTTCCCATGGAGGAGAAGGATTACTAGTGGAGAAACAGTGATAAAGTTCTATTGAGAAATGCTACCTATGATAAGAAAAAATTACTGGGAGCTGCTATTTATGCCTCGCTTTCTGATAATGCCATGAGGATAGCCAACGTGTGTCATTTTCTCTTGGAAAATTATGGTACAGTTTGACTCTCTCTGATGGCTGCCTTGTTTCATTTTTCTGAAATGCCATGTTGCTGGTAGGAAGAGAGCCATATACATACAACCTGTGCTCACAATCTGGGAACTGGCATAGCGACGTTGTATTGCTAAGCAACAGTTGGCATCATGCTGCCTGCTAGAGCCATTCTCCGCTCGTCCTCTTTGCCTGAAAAATCCAGATCAGCATCTAGCTCAAGGTTTAAGTCCTGAAAAAGAACAGTAGATTGATATCTTATTTTGTGTAAAGTTCGTCATTCGTTTTGTTAGTAAAGCATTAAATTACAATTCAGAGAAACGCAGTCAGGATGTGCTTTGTTCATCCCTAGAACAGCAGATCCTAATGACAAGGGGTAATGGTTTTAAACTGAAACAGGGTAGGTTTAGACTGGATATAAGGAAGAAATTCTTTACAATGAGGGTAGTGAAACACTGGAACGGGTTGCCCAGGGAGGTAGTGGAGGCCCCATCCCTGGAAACATTCAAGGCCAGGTTGGATGGGGCTCTGAGCACCTGATCTGGTTAGCGGTGTCCCTGCTCACTGCAGGGGGGTTGGACTAGATGACCTCTAGGGGTCCCTTCCAACCCAAACCATTCTATGATTCTATCTTGATGCCTTGCAATAGGATGTCTATCATGTGAGGTGAGGCCGGTTTCCTATAGAGCCAGCAATGCCAGATCTTACCAAATGCGGCATGAAATAGCTGTGTTACATACAAATGTGCATCTTTATACTAGTGGGTTGTAGGCTCAAATTAGGCCTTAATTATTCTCTCTAGTGCATACGCGCTGTAGGATTTAACCTCAAAAGATGAAGATTTGTGCGCTGGAGAGCAATATTGATAGCCCTGGATTTTAAATGCCTTTTTTGATCAAGGGAAGGCTTTCCTTGCTGCTTCTGCAAAAGCTAATTGTTTGCTTGGTCAGAAAGAATGAACTTAAAAAGTAAAAATCCCAATGGGAGATACTACTAGTTAAGTAGCTCTGGGTGACTACCTGTTATTTTAACTTTGTTTTGTTATTGACAATACTAAGTGAAATCTGTTGCTAAGCTGGTTAGCTAAATACCAGATATGCACTGAAAATTCATCCTCTTTTCTTTCTTGATTTGTAAGACCTGAATAATTTTTGTTCTAGATAAGGTTTTTTTACGTTTGTTTTTTGTGGGGTTTTGTTTGCTTCTTTGTTGTTTGGGTTGGTGGTTTGTTGTTTTTTTTTTTACTTTCACTACTCTTGTGAATCTCCATTTTAGTAAATCATACAACATTCCCAATTTCCAATTTTTTTAGCTACGTTCCCAGCTACTCAGTGATGTATGGTCATTCTTAGAGTATATTTTGACCAAGTTCAAGCAGGAGGTATTTTGCCACTTCCTCTGTTGACACTTTTCCTCTGACTAGCGATCCCGTTGTAGTACTTCTATTAATTTTCATTCTTCATTTCTTTTTATTTTGTTTTGTCCTTTGCTTCCAAGCATATTTCATAACTACATTTGCTTCTTCCTTTAATGTGTTCCAATAATCTTTGTGTAAGTACACATGCGTAGACATTAATATATCCTTCATTTAATGAGTAGTTAGGCTGTACTTATTAAGCTCCCTTCATCTTTTAAAATTATTTCTGGTTATTCTTGCTGTCTTTTGTTAAATCTTGTGTTAGTTTTCTAATGTGTCTTTCTGGTACTTCAATTTGCGGAACAAATGTGTTGTGCCATAAGCGGTTGTAAAAATGAGTGTAAAATAGCGAATGTTTTGCAAGGAACTGCTTGATTGTGTGAATCTGTTCACAAGCTCCCCGGTGTGATGTACACATGTACGCAGACACGTTTTCTGATCGTAGGGATGAGCCAGAAGACTAAGCACTGTTCTTTGTACTATTTGCCAGTTGACTTTTCAGTGAAGTTCAAGGTCTTACTACCTGCAGGAGAGTCTAAATGCCCCAGCACATATAGTTCAAACATCCTTAAACAGTTGATTTTGATCTTGAGTACTTGTTAGATGGTAAAGGTTGGAGCTAAAGGGAGCTTCAGATGGGAATTTTTCAAGTTGCAAGTTTCTCAAGAATTTTTTTCCTGACAGAAATAAATGTCAACGAGGACCGTTGGCCTGGCAATATTCAGTAAGATTTTTACACACATAATTGTTCAGATTTTTGCAGACTTCCTCCAGGCTTTTTCCTGCAGTATCATTCAGAAAAGTTGGAATTTTTGTTGGTCGTGTCCCATCCCCCATCCGTCTGTCCCCCCAGTCTCTTCTTAAATACTTCATTGCTTTTGGAGGATGGTAAAGGTTTGGGTTTGGGTTTTTTTCCTGTAGAGGAAATTATTTTGCCAGGACCTGAGCTGTGTGATGTATGCCCAAGTTCTGGTAATCTGAGTCATGACATTGAACAATGCTATCTGTAATTTAAAAATATAATTTTGGGGACATCTGGAAAATGATAGAATTGTTTGTTGGTAGAAAGATCAGGATAGAAAGACTTCTACGATAAGGCATAGGCCTTGCTTGCTTGTCATATCATATACAAATAAAGAGGAATATGTAATGTGCACAAGGTACTTCTACTGCATGGTTGACTACAGCATTGGAAAGCTCTGTAATCTGTAAATCTCTTTCTTGGGGATGATAGCCCCTTTTCACTGTATGAAAATTCGAAGTATAGAGTGTGAGACAATAGAAGAATCAGAAGTCAAACCTTGTTCTGTGCCTTTGTGTTAATCTAATAATATATTAATAACTGTTTCTTACTTGTAGGAAATCTGTCCAGTCTAAGTCGTCTTGGCCTGAGGTACAATAGGCTGTCAGCAATTCCGAAGTCTTTAGCAAAATGCAGTGAACTCGATGAACTGAACCTGGAGAACAACAACATTTCTACTTTACCAGAGGTGAGAATTAGAGGGAGTGGATTTTTGGGAGGGAATGTTGCTGTAAGGCATCAGTGTTTTGTAGAGGGATTGGAACATGTGAAATTACTTCATCTTGAATCACAAGTCTAAGGAATATCCTTTGTTTTAATTGACATGTGTGTGAAATATTGCAATTCTGTACATATTAGGTGTCTAACTAGTACGGAAGAACTGTTGTTGTACAACTTCAGTCAACAGTGAGAGCAGTACATGTGTTTGTGTTTGTTTGTTGTCCTGTCTTTTTAGAAAACCTTAAATAAGGAGCCCAGGTTCTCACTATTCAAGCTAGATAAGAGCTTCTCAGTGTTTCTGTTTCATGGAGGTAGGGAAGAAGTAGAAAAATGAAAAATGGGAGGCAAGAATACCTTTAAGAGAGTAGGTAAAGCTTGTTGCAGCTACTTGGCCTCAGCATTCTCATTTTAAGGTGGAAAAGTGTGCTGTTGAAACTGCTGAGATATCATCTGGCAGCTCACTGATACACCTTCTGCCAGTTATCAAAAATAAAAATTTGCACCATTTTTCAGTTTTAGTGACTCTCTGAGGATCACGGGAGAAAGAGGAAGAGAAACCATTTTCTTGCTTTTCAGAGTTGCTGCACTTGATTGTCTTACCTTGGTCTCTCTTGCTTCAAGTTTAGTGTGGAACTAAGGAAAATGTCCGTAGTCAGAAGCTCTGGAGCCACATTGTCAGTCTCTTCAAGTAACACATTCCTGAACAGAGCGCTTTGGTAGCTCTGGGGTGGAGAGCCAGAAAGTCCTAGTTCCCCATGCATCTGTACGTTTTTCTGTGCCCCTTCCCTAGAGTTCTCTGGAAGGTGCCCCCGCGGGTTTCACAGCCCTGGGTAGCTACAGCAGTTGGTTACAGAACGCTTCTTAAATACAGCTTTGATGTCTGCAGACTTTGAAACTCTTTCAGCCGTTGGTTATACCTTTCATCCTGATTTTCCTTTTCTTAGTTCCTTGAGACTGATTTATCAGGGTAGCAGAGTGAGAGATGCTTGGCTGCGTACTGCATACTTTTGGCGCTAGTAAACGTTTTGAGAAAATGTTTGACTTGAAGCATTAGTGCCTGGGCAGAATTGCTCCGACAAAATTTCCGAAAAGAATATTCTGACAGAAAAAAAATACAATGAAATTGATTCTTATTTTGGATATTTCTTCCGTTGCTTTAGAACTGCTTGGAGTTGAAGGTTTTCAGACACAAGATAGGGTTTTATTCTGTTCTGGTTTAATGATGGTCCAAACTGCTTTCCTAAGCTGTTAAAAAAAAAAAAAAAGTATAAATTATTAGTATAAATAATTCCAAATGTATCTAAAGAGGTATATGGGAAACTATACGTAGAAGAAAAAAACAATGCACTTGGAGTTAGGTGAAGTATTCATAGTAAGAAAGTGCAAAAAGTAACTGCTTTCCTTCAGATAAATTTCTCAGTTTGGCAATGACAGACTGAAAAGAGAGAATTCAATAAATGTTTGGGAAAAACTGTCACTTACGGAAATGCTACTGACTGAAAGCCACCAGGCTGATTTTAAGATGTGAACTAAGGTAGCCTACCCCACCCAGACGTGTTATAAATCAACTACGCTATAATTACAAAGAGCTAACATGATGAATGATTGCTTGCTTTAAAATGTCTTCAGCCATAATACAAAACTCTTTGCGACTGTGCTGCCACCTTCATGTATATTTGCCAACAATATGTTAATGCTTAAGCTGCTACCTTGCAGAAGCGTACAGTTTATACTGTAATCTGTTCAAAATAAAACATTCTGTGCTATAATACAAAGAACTTTTTGCAGAAGAAACTTCTGAATTTCAAAGCGTAGCTGAAGCTGCTGATACAATGCCTAATAAATATTTTATCTTGAGAGAATGGGCTGGGAGAAGGCAGCACTGTCACAGCTCTTGCAGATAGAAAAGCATTGCTCTCTTTGTACTGCCAAAGCTCGCTTGCTTCCCTTCAAATGTGTTTAATTACTCTAGGCTATTAGAGTGTATTAGCTAACATCTTTTTAATATTTTTTGGTATGGAAGCAGACTTCAAAAATGGCTTTTTGAAACACCAAGATCCATTTGAAGCAATAAAGTGTGTTTGTAACAGAGCTCAGGGACTGCCTAACCCTAGGACAAAGCATATCTGTTAATTGAAGTATAGCTAGAAGCAGTATTTCCTAATCAATGATTATACTAGTTAACAATTAGGGTAGATTAATACTGATTTGAATATCCATTATTTTATCTTTAGGGGGCAAATTGCTTCACTAATATTTGCCGAGATGCCTCCAGAATTTTATTTCAGTGCTTAAAATTTTAGCCATGACATGTAGACAAGCCCCTATTTAATCCTGTTTTATTTACAATAATGTTAATAAACTGTTTAGAAAAGTAGCCGAAGCTTTCCTGGTGAAAGAGCAAAGCCATGTTCTTAAAGCTTTTACAGTGAATACAGCACTGAAATTGCAATCCAGAAATACTGACATTGGGAATATGGTTGGAATCATTATCTTCTTACTGCTCGTTCCTGATTGCAGATATTGCATTATTTATGGTATGTAATGCCACGCATAAATCTCCAGATTCTGTAATACTTAAGCAAATAGGGCTGAATTCAGGTTGGCATAGTAATAAGCAAAGGTGACACTTCAGCAGTAATTTAGATCGCATTATTCATCCCCACAGTTCCAGCAATGTGCTTGGCACGTAACTTAACAGATAAACTGCGAGATCCGCGCTGCTGAGACTGGAGAATCTAATTAGATAGCAAAGTGAAATGAGACTCTGGGTTCAATGGGCAACCATTGCTATCCAGTTTAACTCCAGGCTTCTCGCTTTTTATTTCTTAAGGCGGGGTGGGGGGAAGAAGTGGAGTAATAACTATTTAGGAATATTTTGAAAACAGGAAAAGAAATGCAACTTCCAAAACCTTGCTTCCCCGTTCTTTTTCTGTCCTGCCTGGTTATCTGAAACTGTTACAGCCTAAAAGGGAACTTCTACCAGATGTGTTCACCTTACGGCTTTCTGGTAGATTAACAAAGATTGGACTGGAGGTATCAAACACCAGTTTGAAAAACGGTGCATGCAGCTGGTAGTTCTTTGGGCCCCGCGCTCAGCCGTGAGCAGGCATCAAAACTCGAGTGAGCCGCAGCTGGGTGGCGTTGGCCGGAGCCGGGAGCGCTGTGCGGGATGGACGCGGTGCTGGCCGTGCCTGCCAGCCGCTGCCCAAGGCATAACGACGTGTTATTAAAAAAATTCCTTTTGGAGGAGAAGAGTTACAAAACCTAAACTCCTAAACTCTTGCTTTCAAATGTGGTATGTTTGCTTTTTTGTATCTGGCAGTATGTAAGGAGAAAGGGGGAAATAAGGTAAAGGCTGATGACTGTGAGCAGAGGTTGTTGCTGATGAACGTTTTATCAAATTTAACACTGGTTTGTGTGTTGCAACTTATTTAGGGGATGGACTTGAGGGGGGGAAAACATTTCTAATTAGACCCATGAGGGAAGAGAGGTGTTTTTGAATAAATCTGTCCTAAGTTCCTGGGTGGTTTTCTTCTCTCTACAGGGTCTTTTATCCAGCCTTGTCAAACTGACTAGTTTAACGCTGGCCAGGAACTGCTTCCAGTCCTATCCCGTGGGTGGCCCGTCCCAGTTCTCCACAATCTACTCTCTCAATATGGAGCACAACCGCATCAATAAAATCCCCTTTGGAATTTTCTCTAGAGCTAAAGTATTAAGTAAGCTGAACATGAAGGTGAGGCGCAGAAACATGCTACTGTGTGTAAAATCAATGAGGAGCACTGTTTGCTGCTCCATGAATTCTGGCAAACTTAATGATACGAGGAATGAATTTATCATGCTGAAGCGGACGCTGCTGCTGTCACATCTAGAAACAATTCTGTGTTGGTTTAAAAATGTACTGTCAAGATGTTATTGATTTGTCTTTATTTTTGTTAGTTAAGCTTTTGTCACATTTGCTCAAGTTTGAACAATGAAAACAAAGTTGGTTGCAAAGTTCTTGAATATTCAAATGAGACATAAGCATACAGCGTAGCTTATTTTTTCCCCCCTCTACTGTTACAGTTTGGATTAAAAACAAAATTAGGTAAAAAAAATATCTCTTGAATATATTCTTTCAAAACCTAAGTTTGGAGACTTTTGGCAGTAGTTGTAGAGCACAGAAAAAGAACCTTTAAGTCTGTGCTATGTACACTTAGAGTGAAGAGAACTAGGGGAAAGAGATGTTGTTTTTCTATGAATAAGTTTGTTTCAAGTTCTTAAATTATTAAAAAATAAATAACATTTAAACTGTATCTAAGCACAGCTACTGTTTTAGAAATATCTTTTGGCACAAATGGATTCTCAATTTGCATTAAGACCAGTTTTTTACTTTGGTAAAAACCAGTTCATTACTTTGCATGCTTACCAGGACTTTGTATGAACTGGTTTTTTAGATTTTTTTTTAGATTTTTTTAGTATCTGGTCTAGATCAAATTTTGGTGCTACATTTTGAGCAGTAAGATGTTCAGATTAATTTCAGTAATGCTTTTACTCTGAGCCGTTAAGGTATATTTCCTTTGTGGTGTGTGTGTTTGGGTGTTTTTCCCCTTGTTCTTTTGAGAGGGGTGGGTGGGTTTGTTTTTTGGGTTGTGGGGTTTTTTTTGTTTTGTTTTGTGGTTTTTGGGTGGTGGGTTTGGTTTGGTTTTTTTTGGTTGTTTTTTTTTTTTGTTGTTGTTTGTTTGTTTTTGGTTTTGGTTTTTTTTGCTCACTCCATATATTTTTAGGATTCCAGTGTTGCTCATAGCACCTTTGCTAATTATGGTGAATTTTCTGTTCTCCCTACCTCCCCCACCCCGCATTATATTCAGCAAAGAAAGGACAAAAAAATGTTTTAGCTACTGGAATGCATGAAATCTTGAGAATTATGTGCTTCTAATTTTTCCACTTCAGTTCATATTAGTAACACAGAGTTAATTCTGTTACTCTGGATTGCAACTGCTTATTATGTTTTGAGGAATTTAAAAAATACTTGGCCAATTATCAACATTTAATTCTTCTGATTTAATTATCTACTATTTTGTTATGAAATATTTTGTAGGCAGTTTGTTTAATCTCTCAGCTGCCATGCTGACTTCTTGCAAGCGCAGACCCTAAATGTTTGATTTGTTAAATCGCAGGACAATCAGCTGACCTCTCTCCCCTTGGACTTCGGGACTTGGACTAGCATGGTAGAACTGAACTTAGCGACTAATCAGCTCACAAAAATCCCTGAGGATGTATCTGGGCTTGTTTCTCTTGAGGTGAGAAGAGTATAAATGAAACAGCTAAGTGAATCCCTGCAAATAGGCGTTGTGTACTTCAGGTTTAAGTAATACTGCTTTTGGGTCAAATAAAGCCAAATAAATATGTGTATTTGTGTTATTTAAATACATGTGTTGCATCCGTTTATGGGTGTTTTCAACAGCTTTTTGAATGTTGTTCTTGAGGCTCTAAATGAGTGTATGTGCTCAAAGAGTTAAGTACATACACACTTTTAACTATGCGGAAAGAAAGTTTTTCTCAACAGAGAGTTACCGTTGTAAATGAGATGGCACTGAACTCAGTTCAATTCCTGGGGAGACCAGCATGGCAACAGCAGGGATCAGAAAAATGTAATGAAATGGTCTACAGCCAGAGGTGGCTTTAATGTTGTAGCACTGTGGACCTTGTAGGCAGCTGGGTGGGAATTCTCAGCCTTTGAGGGAATTCTCAGCCTTTGAGGGAGAAGAACTCGTAGGTTGAAACCATGAACTAAACCTGTTGTGTCCCTTAGTCCCATTTCCCAAGGTAGCATCAGGAGAGAGAAACTTAATTGCCCAATTGGCGTATTTGAAATTGCAGATTTCCAGTGTGACTGCTGCTCTGAATAATTAATAATTCCTGTAGTTTGGGGAAAAAATTATATGGCAGAGTTATAGCTATTTAGTGGCCCAGTTCCCTTTCAGCTAAGGCTGTGATTGATGTGATTGGGAAGTTAGTAACCTCTAACAGCTGGATTTGCCAGTGCTCTGCCAGCTGCTGAAGCTGGAGAGCTGCATGGTCCACAGACCCCTTAGCGCTCTTTTTCTCTGTAATTAAAGAATCAAATACAAAGAGCTATCTGGGCAGTGTTTACAGAAAAGTGAAGGTTCCCACAGCAGTGCTAAGTCAGCTGTATTGCACATAGGTAATATGTTCTGTTCCTGCCTTTGTTTCTTGATACGCGATTAAAATGTTACTATTCTTACCGTTCTGTGTGTGTCGTAGCGCACGCAGGCAGGCCACCGAAATACTGCTTGTACTAATGCTAAGATGTTGGCTTTTATTCGTTTTGATTTTCACTTTGGTTTTTAGCCTTGTTTTCTATGCCGTTCCTGCCTTCAGTGTTTCCACGTTACGTGAGGCTAGCGGGAGCTGGGATTGGTAGCAGCCAGGCTTTTGCGACCTTGGCTGGCTTTGCGGGGACCTGTGCGTGGCTGGGATGAGGGTCCACACTGGGAGCTCTTTCACATCCTTGTGCTTCAATGCGCCTTGTTAAATAACTAGATAATAGTATTATTTAATCGGTAATTAATTACCTTGCTGCTCGCTGGGTTATTATGAGGCTTGATTACTTCTAAGGAGTTAGACTTCTCCGGAGGCAAAATGGTATGCTGGCGTTACCCCTGTTAACTTGCCTGTGGTATAATGAATAGCTCTGCTAAATGACGTCGCAAATAAGGATGCTTTTCTTGAACCTAGGATATTTGTAATTCAAGTTAGAAAGGAGGAGAAAACCAAGAGGATAACACTCCAGTAGGGGTGGGTGTGTGATAGCAGACCGTTTTGAAAAGCCAGTGGGTATCTATGCAGTGGGCTGCTTAGGTGCTCTGGTCTGTATGCTGCTTCTAACCGAGGAGGCATAGAGAGAAGAGGAAGTATTAAGCTTTTTAAGGACTTGGCAAGCTCAGCAAATAATGTAAAACACGGTTATGAGATGGCTGTAAGGAAGGATAACAAAATGATAGGGAAGTCCAGGAAGAAATTGTTTTTCTTTGGTCATTTGAAGAAATAAGGTGGGGTTTTTTTGTTCTGCATTTATTGTTATATACAATAATATTTAGAAGAATTCTGTCATAAATCTATCTATTTGTCTCATTAAAGACTTTAAAAATATGATGTTAATCACTGATTTGATTTTTTTCTTTTATCTTTTCAGTTTGCTTCCCTAATTTGAATGTAGGGTAATCTTGGACTTCATTACTTGAAAATATAAAAAGATCCTGTCTTAATCGTTATTTACTAATTGCATTGCTGAAACTCTCTGTGTGTGGTTTGTTTTTTTTTGAGGTTCTTATCTTGTCAAACAATCTACTAAAGAAACTTCCTCACGGAATTGGAAATCTACGGAAACTCCGAGAGCTAGATCTAGAGGAGAACAAACTGGAATCCTTGCCAAATGAAATAGCTTACCTCAAGGATCTGCAGGTGAAACAATAATGGGCCGAGATAAACATCTTGCGTCCTTTATTTACACCATGCTGATTTAATTACAGCTAGTTTGATGAGGGAAACTATTTGGGACTGGACATAGAACCAAAAGTTAAGAATCTTGTGCAACTTCATCCACAACCTGTCCCCACTAATTCTTCCCCAGATTTATCACTTAATACTGAACAAACAAATTTTGAAGAGTTTAACTGTTTGCACCATGAGTACAGTACTGCCACAGGAATAGCTTCTGATTTCAGTCATGTTCATGAAAGCTTTTATATATAGGCATGTATTTTACTGTGCACTATGTTATGTTTAGTGGTGCTTAATAGAGGTCTGAAATGTTGTTGAAGGGTAGAAATTTTTTTGTTCAAATGCTGGAGAGTAGAACCTATCAATTTATCAGCTGTATATCTTGTTACTTTCTGTCATTTGAAGCAGAAGTCATTAAGTTAATTTTTAAAAAATTGTTTTTCCTTTAGAAATTGGTTCTGACTAATAATCAGTTGACCACCCTTCCCAGAGGTATCGGTCACCTTACCAATCTGACGCACCTTGGGCTTGGAGAGAATCTTCTCACACACCTTCCTGAGGAAATTGGTAAGATCTCTTTTTCTGGTTTGATGCAGTGTGCCTGAGCCAAGGCAGTTACTGACACAGGAGATAGACATCTTCTGTGCTCATAAGCAGAGGCCACAAAATTCATGTGAAACTTCTAGATATACACAACCTGATGTAAAGCATGTGCCACAGGAACAGCACCATAGGGTATGATCTTTATCTTGCTGAACTGTAGTGAAACAAATGGTCTAGCTTTTTTCAATTCTTCTGCAGAAAGCCACCAAACACACACTAACCTAGAATAGAGAGATTCCTTTTCTCTCCAAATTTTCCCACAAGTTGTGTATTATCAGTCACTCCACTTCATAAACCTATTCTTGGAGAGAGGTCTGTGTCAGAAAGGGAATGCACTGGTCCTACTGTAATTCCATAGCGTAGACAAAACCTTGTGTAAGGTGTAGACAGCTGAAGCAAACGTTTCTGGTGATAGTCCCTCTGCACACACTTCTGTTTGTAGACCGCTGTATTGTTTTTCACTTCGATGAGATGAGAAAAGGAAGTGAAGAGGAGGAAATCTACAGAAAGAAAGAGAGGAGTAGGATTCTTTTTGTCTACTTGAGACATCCAGAGTAAATGAGACTCAGAGCATGTGAAATGGAGAGCCCCCATTTCTTTTACAGTCACAAGTACCTCCAGAGCATGATTCTGATCACTTAAGTTAAAATCTTAAAGTTAGAGCTCATTATGGAGGAAAAAATGGTGGGAGAAGCTACACAATGCAAAATGTGGTCAGAAACAGTGATGTGCAGATGGAGAAGGCTGGGACACTGTCTGTCTCTCCCAGCATCTTTAGGGAAGAGCTGTTACAGCTTCTCCTCATCACTTGTATGTGTCTCTGTGAGAGGGGCCTAAACCAACCTAAATCTGGAGTTTTGTCATTTAGTTCATAAGTTAATGGAGAGATTTTGGATGCTGTGGAAATGAGCTGCAGAATTAAAGTATGTAAGTAAACTTGTAGGAGTACAATTTGGTTTTCAAAGCTGAGAATAGTTAACTATCCTCAGATATGACTGCTTCATCTAAAGTTATTAGCTATTTCCCATTATTTCTTAGCCTTTTTTTTTTTGTTGTTGTTGGTTTTCCGTGCGTTGAGCCCTGGCTGCTGCTCTCTCCTAAGAAAGATTAAATTGTCTTTTAGGTTATAGGAGATGTTTATGCTATATAAGATTGGAAAATGGGGATTGTTTTGAGGAGGACTTGTACGTTCGGTGTGTATTTCAAAGATACAGATTGATTTTGATACTTGATTGCTGTGGAGGAATGGCAGTCTTAAGAAAGAAGAAATTAGTCTGATTTTCATCATCTGGTTAATCTGTATTGCAGTATCTGTAGTAGAGGCAGGTTGTAACATTTGAATTCCAGAGGAATTTTTCAAATGGGTTTGTTCCATTTAATAAACTCACTGCTAAGCAGAGATCTCTCCTGCTTTCTTCCTGTGGCACACTACAGTTACAGGTTCAGGTCTTTAATGTATGGGTTCTAATTAAATAAAAGGTATGGCATAGATATTTTATGGAGAGAATACATGCTGCATGGTATAAATATTTTCTAGGCCCTTCTAATTAGACAGCTTTTCAATGTTGCCTGCCAATTGCAAAGCACTTGGCTGAACAGTTACGGTTAAGTCCCTCTCAGTTCTCTTATTCTGTGTATTCTCAATCCAGTTGTTATCTAAAGGAGATGTAGTAATGGATATTTTTACAGGGAAGCTAAAGTGAATTGGTTCTTGCTTAGGTTCCTGTGCTTGAAAACAGGAGTTTAGCTGAGTCACTGACTCTAGATTCTACATAGTAAAGAATCTTCCAAGTGGACTTAGTGCTTCTGTCTAAAAGCTATAAACTGCATGAATCAAAAAACCACATACTACTTTGTGTTATTTTATTTTAACCAGGTACACTGGAGAATCTGGAAGAACTGTATTTGAATGACAACCCCAATCTGCACAGCCTTCCCTTTGAGCTGGCTCTTTGCAGCAAACTGTCAATAATGAGTATTGAGAACTGCCCGCTCAGCCACCTTCCACCTCAGATTGTTGCAGGAGGACCCTCCTTCATCATTCAGTTCCTAAAAATGCAGGGACCATATCGTGCCATGGTCTGATGCTAATCGGATTGTCCAATACACTGTACAAAATACAAACTGCATTAATGTTGTAATTGTCTGTATATGTATATATAATATAATAT